TATACATATACATATACGCATACATGTACATGTGCATGTACGTGTACGTATACGTCGACATGTGCATACATACAGAAATACATACATTTTCAGTCCACGGGCTTAGAGACCGTTGGTCGCGCCTATTGCAGAAGTTGAATTCTTGTGAAACTAGTCTTCCGGGCTGCTGATTCCTGCCTCGTTCACACCAAGCCCCACTGAGGCAAGCCAGGTAGGGATTGGCTCAAGCGGGCTCGAAACATCACCCGTGAAGACAGAGACTGCCGAACAAATTGCCCTACGACATCATATGCGGCTTCCAAATATGCAGACGTCAGCTTTGCTGCAGCAAGAGGTGCGCCTCCAATAAATGGATAGCAGCAGTCTGGGCAAGGTGGCAAGTCCAAAGAGAAGTTGACGGGATGGCCGGATAGAATGCAGGGAAAGCTCGAGTCGAGCGGTCGGGAAGCTCTGCACAGCAGGCGGCAACCGGTGAGCCGCTCTTAGTGGCAGAACGTGTCGCACACAAGCTGAGGATGCAACATCAAGCTGATGTCATCAGCAATTGCTTGGATTTCTGCCCGTGCCGGTAACCTCTGACTCCAAAGGCGTAGTGTCGTTTTGAGAGTCTCAACCGGCTCAACAGAATCAACAACGACTTCCCATACTGAATCCTCATCCGGGTTGCCCAACGCGAGTTTGGACTCAACCACGGCTGTAAGCTGCCGGGTCGTATTCGCAATGGTCCTCCCGCAAGACCCCCTCAAGGGCGGGAGGTGGAGTGCATGTGTGGATACTGGGGATTGCCTGATCCGGACCGAGTACACAAGAACCCCAACCAGTTCTGCACATGACTTGTGCATGCTTCAGAATGCAACAGATGCCGACGAAGCTTCGCTGGTTTCGCGAAGACCTTGCTGCACCCCGGCATAACGAATCGCCCTGTGTGCCTGCGCAAACTGAGGTGGCAGTCCTCCAGCGGTGAATCTTCGAGGCATGACATGCCCAAGCCGCCCACGAGGTAAATGCTCTGTTACAGATCAGGCAGTCTTCGGTGAAGGCCGTCTTTCCGGGAGATTCGCGCAGGGGCTCGCCCGCCCCGTGATCAGACAGTGTGCGATGTAGGGCCTGCATGGCTGCAAAAGAAGAAATGCGACAAATGTTCAACCCTCTTGCTCTCTGAATCCGGCCACGAAATTGGGAGGGTCTTTCTTGGAGACGATCATACCAAGGTTGCCAGCTTGTAAGAGGATCCGGAAGCCTGCAAGTGACACGGACCGGGTCATACAACCAACTCAAAGCCTGACGAAGGACCGTGAGCGTCCTGACGTATAAGTGCCCATATACCGCATCAGGCGCAAACCCAATCAGCTGCTTCAGGTAGCGCAATTGCTCGACACGAAGCAATGAGGTTGGGTCAAGCAGGCCCAACAGCGCACACAAAGTAGCCAGTGATCATCCGTTGCCCTCAAACCTAGGGGTGGACCTGTAAAGGGAAAAACGGCCCCATTGAAGACCTTGAGTTCCCCAGTGCTGAGCTCGGGCCTAGCACCTGCTCCGCAATAAAGGAGTTTGCTCATGACAAAAGGGTTGAGAAGATCGGAAGACTCGAGATCTTCCTTCACGAAATGCGACCCTGTTGCCGTCCCACGGAACTTTGACCTCTTCACATAACCCGGGCCGCACTCATCCCGCAGCACTAAAATGCGTAGCATGACTACCCTACAGGTCAGGTCAGCCCATGATGTGGAGCCTGGCCTTGTTCCTCTCGGCGTAATGATGGGCACGGTATTGCCGTGCAGGCTCACCCATGTGCCCCCATTAAGCTCGGAGGTCAAAGCTCGCAACCACGGGGTTGCCCCACTCTGCGCCATGGCGGATGGTATTCGGTCGGGGGCCTGGAAGCCAGGCTCCTGATCGTGGAGTAATAATACGCGGAGGAGACAACCGCAAAGAGCACTGCAGGGCTCTTTCCAAGGCCACTGCGCCATCGCATAAATGTAGACGACAGCCTTTATGCCCTCCGAGCTGCAGCGGCGATGCGGTAGAATCGAAATGATGTTGGATGCATGGTCGAAATGCACGGTGCGCAGCCTTGCACAAATTCGACAGTAGCTAGTTGCCTCGATACGAGGAGCAATCGGATTGAGGACCGCGCCCCTTCCAAATCCAAGTCAGTGAACGACTTTTGTGCCCGATTCCCTCCTCTCCTAGCAAACCAAGCTTCAAAAGGATAGAAAACAAGAGCTTTTGTATGCCCTCAGAGCAAAACACGCCTAGTTCGCCCGGCGGGCGTCTGGCCCGCAACGGTGACGGCAGCACAGAGCGAGATTCTGGGAGGGGCCATTGGCCGGTGCTTCGGTTGACAATTGTCTCAACCAACTTCTCCTTGCTGCCACACCATCCTCCAAGCTGAAATGTTCCTGCCATCGGCGGGTGGTTTGCGCAGGGGTTTCACACAATGCTCCATTGGCATTTTCGATGGCAAGGAATACCGCCGGAGCATACGGCTTCTTTCGCCTGCGGCAGAGGAGCCTGTTCACGGCTACAGGAGAGTCGTGACAATTCGCTTGAACATTGTCAGCTAGGCTAGCCATACAAGCAACTCTATCACTCTTGCAGCGTGAACGAAGGGTTTTCGCAAAGATACCCAACCAAAACCCGCACAGGGCTTCGGCAGTTTGAGCATCGCACAGCCAAGCCGACGGATTTGTTATTTCCTCAAACCCCTGTGCGTCTCCTCTCCATCCATAGAAAACAGCTGCGGTGGTCTGCCTATAGATGGCGGCTTTGTCCCCTGCCAATCGGCGTCGAAGCCATGTGACCTGCTTCTGCAAATCCCAAGCAGTATCTGACAGGTAGTGATGTAGGGGTCGCTTAGCCTGTGCCGGGATCTCCTTGGCGAGCTTGGACTGCAGGTATGAGGTGATTGTTGTAGCAACATGCGCATGTGCTGATGCGCTCCATGACGGGCACGGCGCGTCGCTCACCACGCGGGCAAGACGCTCCCTGTCGGCTGGGTCAGCCAATGCCTGCATCCATCCACCCCTCCATCCAAGCCTTCGACTCCTGCCTCAAAAAAGCTCCTAACGACTGAGCGGGGACGTCCCTGGCTTAGAATTGAAACTGGTGGGGTGGCCTGGGCAAAGCACAAAGAGATTACCCAAACACGTCTGCGAAGCCTGACCGAGATCTCAAGCCTAAAATGGAATCCCGAAGCACCGAATGCATTCTCTAGCCTTCGCAAAACCACAAACAGACCGTAAACCAAAAGAACCCTAAGCCCTCTAAGCCTACAAACCCTAAACTGTCCGAAAACCCCAAACCGCCTTGAAGTGCCGAGCCAGGTCCAAAGCTCGCTCCATCTCGCTTGTCGTGCGCAGGAGGTGCAGCATCCTCCAGTTCAAAAGTAATAGAATATGATAGAACATATGATATAAGATACTGTGACGACGAAATAATGAAATGAGGTAACTTCTTGTTTGGCAGAAAGTCTAGCTGGCTGCAGGGAGCTTCAAGGTTGAGGGTTCAAGGGCTTGAGTGTTTTGTGATCGATTTCTAGGTTGCCGGGGTGCGCGACTGTTGCACTCGCAGGCAGCAGGCAATGCTATCCAACAAGCCTGAGGCCTCCACTGTTACTACTGTCATTGTTGTTGTTAGTATTAGTATTATCAATATTTATTCGACTTTTTATTCTCAGTAATATTATTGTCATAATAATAATGAATAGTAGTAGTATTTACTATTGCTATTACTATTGTTTCTACTGTTATTACTCTGAGCATTATGATTATGATTATAATTTTTTCTTTTACTATTATTATTTTTTTTTGTTATTATTATTATTCGGAGTAGTAGTAGTAGTAGTAGTCAATTAGAATGCTCGAACAGGGTTTCGAATTTAGTGAGTTTCGGGTTTCTGGGCTTCTGAGGTTCATGCAGGGTTTCACACAGCAGTGATGTAGGGCTCCTATTTCGAACGGGTTTGCGCTTTTTCAAAGTGTAATGTAGCATTACTGTTGCAGGCCCCAGGAAACATCATCAGTTTGAAAGCATTTCAATACATTTCAATTCGCCGGCACTATGCTACAGCAGAATGAGATATAATGTACGCAGGTTTCGAAAGCAGGTAAATGTCCCTCAACTCAGAGCCAGAAACTACAGCGACAGCTCCTGCAGCTCACTTACCCAAAACCCTTTGAACCAATATCTCCGAGTACTTCGACAAAGACCTATATATAATGTATACCATAGGCCTTGAAAAGTAAAAGGCTTCAAAAGTCAATAGGCGGGTGGAGTATGCGAGCTTCTCGCCTACCTACGTGCTGTTCGCGTTCAGCTGAATCGAATGCTACGGTCGTAGATCGGCTGCAAATCCGTGCGAAAAATCCACTAGAGTCACCAATGTTGTCCGTCCTTGGACCATCTTGAAACACGAGGCGCCGCGACTCTAGAGCCAAATCAGGCTGCAAATCCAAAAGGCCCTTTATCCACGAACCCAATTCGCAGCTCCCGGGGCTCGTCCTCTCCGGTCGGCCGCGTTGCAGTGCTTCCACCACTGGCACCTGTCCAATGTGTGGAATGAAGCTTACTTGATAATGGGCGTGCCATTGTTTTTTGCAGAGCTGTACTTTCTGTGTACTGCATTGAGGCAGCAAAGCGTTTCTGCAGTCTCTGCCACAGGGACCTCTTTGCGTTCAACCAAGGGTCGTGCATGCAGCTCGGGCTGTGGGCATTGACCAATTCGGGAAAACGCGAACAAAAACCTAAGCACCTAATCTACATCCATGTCAGGCCTGGTTCCGTACCACAGGCTTGTTGCCAGCAGAGACAATAGCCTCGGTGCTGACCCGTTAGATAGTGCGGCAGTCATGCATTGATGCGCATCTGCCAGTAAACCCCCCTGCCCTACAATGATGATCATCCGAGACGATCAGCCATGTAGAAGTCAATGTAGCAGGACACGAAGCTGCCAGCCATCCGCTCCTGTTTGGGGGGCAGGCGTATATGCACCGGCAAACAAATCTAGCAACCTGTGCCACATAATCTCAGATGCTAACCATGTTGCATGATTGCCTGCTCGTGACCTGCCTGGACTCGCTGTAAAGAAGGGCAGCAAGCAGCAAAAGTGATCATTGTGACACGCAGAAAAGTGGCAAACTCCGAAGGACAAAACACCGGCATGCAAGATACTACTGGTAGCATGTAATAACAACCCGTCCCTGAGAATGAGCTCGGAGAACTTCGCGATAAGGTCTTCGGGCACACGCCGGCAAATTGTGAAATTGCCCTTGAAGATCCTTGGCTCTGGCTGTAGAGTTTGCATTCAGGCTGCCTGCTTTTAAGTCTCGGCGTTTTGAAGCTTACACGCACCCCAAAACCCTCAACAAGGACTGGGCCGATTGTCTGCTGCTCGGGGCAGCATATGCTTTTTCGGATGTGGTACTGCCCAGTGCCCAGTGACTCCATGAGTTCCTAGGAAACTTTGCAGGTCTGCTGTCACCGGACAGCCTGCACTGAATTACAACTCCCGCCCCCCGGCCCAAACTGCTAGTAGGCCTCCGGACGCTCACTTCATGCCCAACTGCAAAACTTCCGAAGCAGCCTACCCGGTCCAGAATTCGAGGACGTCCCTAGCTACTGAGCCATCTGGGACGCTCTGGATGCAAACATCCCCAGCACAAAGATTCTGAATATCCAGGCCATGCTTACATATCCACCAAGCCCGCACATCAGCCCCAGAGGACCCACACGACCCTAAGCCCTAAGCCTTGAGCCGACAAAAAAAGGGGCAAACCCTGGAACCTTCAACTTCGAACCGAGCCGCAAACTAAACAACAACTTGATCACAAGACCAAGGCAGGATCTCTGAGGTCGCTGCTCTGCCAGTAGCAGCGCAGACTCCGGCTGCTCAGCGACCAAGGCTTTCATCGCATCCTGGGTTCCAGGCAACTTGGAAGAGTTCCGGGCCGCAAAGTGCGAGTGCCAAACGAAGAGCCTACAGGGTCCATGGCTAGAGGGTTTAGAGGGGTTTAGTGAGTTTAGTGCTTAAGCCCTGCGGGTTGCGGGATTTATGGACCTTGGCTGTCGGCGGTCAGCCTTCACTTGGCTTTCAGACTTTCAACATCGGCTCAAGGATGTAGTGAGAAGTCAAAACGGCAAAGGAAAGAGTCAGGCTTTAGGGAGTAAGATCTTGGCGTCGAAGCTGAAAATGTAGATCCAAATCTGCCGCACTCCGAGCGGTGCGAGGAGACGCGCTTTTGCAAGCCGCAGAGATACAAGATTCAGTTCTTGGGCAAGGGCTCCATTTCCACAGTCTCCGCATGACAATCACAGCAAGTCCGCCTCCCTTGCCGACTCGCTAAGCACTACTCCTATGTTCCAACCACTCCAACCACCGACAGCAAGCCTACAACCCAAGGGTCCCGAATACCCAAAAAATGTTGACGCCCACATTTTCAGCAAGTTTGCGAATCTGGCCTGACTCGAAGAGGGCGCAGGTTTCGCAGGTGAATAGAGCGGATGACAACTTCAGGATTTGACGCTGGGAGTTTCTTGCAAAATGTCAGCATGGTCGTCCGGTCCCTTCTCGACTCTCGCGATCCACAAGCCCGGCAAGCCCATAAGAGTCAGGTCTTATGATCTTGGGCAGAGGTTTGAAGTCTCACGAGGGTCGTCGTACTCAGACATTCCAGGCGAGGTATGTTCAATCGTCTAGCCCGAACAATGCACATGCTCTGCAAGGCCAATTCACGAGGCTGACATACCAAAGACCTGGCATTTTCCATCTGCTGCCCAAAAGCCTCTCGATCCGCGACTTCGTATAAACACGGGCAGGAAAACCACAGCTTCACGGATGCAACAGCATCAACAAGCAAAACCGCTGTCTAGAACCTTTTCACAGAAGCCTTGGATCCTGAATCTGTGTCATATACAACCATAAAACCGCCATATATGTATGGTAATAACAGGCTTAACATAGAACCATACGTTTGTGTGCGGCAGCTCCCAGAGTCCATTGCAGACCTCCAGAACCCCAGAAGCTCAATGGGCGACTTCTTTTGTTTCACAGCTCGTGCGGATCGGCGCGAAAAGTGTGCTATGGGTTATGGGGTGCCTGAAACAGCCCTTAACTTCGACAACTTCCCAACACCAGCCCAGCGGCTATAGATCGATAAGCCTGCATCTGGTTCTTGCTGTTGTTTGCCACGGCCTCCGGGCGTTTTTCTTTTTGGGCGAATACAAGGCAGGCGCATGTCATAACATCACAACTGGCTCTGACTTTGCTAGTTGCTCAGTGCTTGCTTACGTCGTCCTTCCGTGGGTCTCAAACGCTCATGCTGGTGGCAAGGGACGTGGTCGGAAGATGTGCTCAAACCCTTCGCCTCGACCTACAAAGCCCCCGAGTGCAGGTTCAAAGCAGTGACACCTGCCTTGACTGCACAGTGGCACATTTGGGAGATCACCTGCTTGACCTGGCGTGCGCGAAAAGCGGCGACAATCTCTGTCAAGGGTTTCGGGTTCAGGGTCTATGCCAGCATTCTGCAGCCAGACAGGGCGACAGCGACGCCTGGCTCATCCTCAGCGGTGCAGGTTTCGGGTTCAGGGCTCGGTGCATTTTGGGGTGAATATACCAAGTGGAGAACACCTCCTTAAGAAAACCTGAAGGCCGGCGATCTCCAGACCAACGAAAGCTTCGCGTATCGGATTTACGGTTTAGACTCAGACTCTTGTATTGTAGATTCCCTCGCAAGAGCGGCAGGGCTGCCAGTGGTTCGGAGCTCTGTGGAAAGTCCTTGGTCGGTCAGCATTTAAGCTCCCCATTTTTTCGATTCTAGTTGCACCGAGGTCTCGGCTGGAAGATGTCGGAATCACTCTAGAGCTTCTATACCGCTAGCTCTCTTCTTAATTGCATGTTCGCACAGAGCAAAACCTCGAAACATGGCATGATGAGTTTGCGTCTGGCTTCGATGTTTTGAATACACATGCTTCAGGACTTCGGCTTCTGATGTGGGGAAAGAAGCTGATCACAAGTCTAAGAATGAAAGCCTGGAAGTGGTGACTGTGTGTAAGTTGTTAGCAGCCTCGAACTCTCTTTCCCCGTATCTTCTTCCTTCGGGCGTAAGGGGAGTGTCTTTCCCCGTCTCTCTCTCTCTCTCTCTCTCTTTCTCTCGCGTTCGTTCGTTTACCAGGGTCTAGAGTCTCTCAGCAAGGCCACGAAACACACTGTGAAGCGTGACACTGCAGACTCACATTCGTCCGGAAAACTTCACCATCTTCTTCTCACCGTGTGACTCTTGGCAGCCTGCGGTACCTTCATGATTTGCCCATAAAGCAAACTGATTTAGGAATCAATGCTGTAAGTGCCAGCGCTCTAAGGCCAGGCCAAGAACCACGACTTGACCATCCAGCATTGGAAGCTAAATCGCAAGCCGGACATCCTAGGACCCGTAGCCATGGCAAACCGAGCTGCTGAAAAGCTCATCCTCACCGTGTAATCCATGTGCGAGAAAAACTCTGTTTCCTCAGTTTCAACAGAGGAGGAATCAGGCAGGCGTTTCCAGTCAGCTGCAGGTGGCCGCTTTAGCACCGCAAACTTCAGTGCTTACCTCAAGCACGGGTTTCAAGCCCAGATCAGCCACAGGCTGTTCATGTTCCTGAAGCATTGAAGCATGCCAAGTCTCGTGAAGCATTTTCTGCACCTCGTGGGGGCTGCTTGAAGGATCCCCATTGATGCACAGGCCGCGGATCCGTTTGCAAAGAGAGCCTAGGTCAGGCACAAGTCGACGTCCAAAAGACGATCTCGGAGAATTAGTGCGGATCCTGACATGTTAATCCTACACCTGTGCGCAAACCTGCGCAACAAGGCAGCGCAGCGAGGCAATCTACACAGACTCAATCGGCCGTACTCGCACGACAATGACATGGAAACAGGGTTATCTAAGGAAGCCGTTTCCAAACTAAAGAAGAAGTGTCGCTCCGGTGAGGCAAGATGCTGAATTGTTTCAGCTTCGCATTGTCGATTGTCGAAAAATCATCGTCAACGCCCCAATTCTCAATACTGTAGAGCCTGGGCAAAGGTTGAAAACTCAGTCGAAAACCCGAGATGGATGTTTGAAACCTATGTTGAACTAGTCATTAGACCAAATCTGGCACATCCGAACCGCACAACCTTGCATCCTGAGGATTGTAAACTTGCACCACGGCCTACACCTCTGCCTCAGAGGAATATGAAACAGAAGCAACCATAAACTTGTGCAGTCTATGGCCCATGGCCGCATCCCTATCAACATGTGCAGTCTATGGCCTATGGTTTGGTCGTGCAGCATTGCAAGGTCTGTCCCGGTTACAGCTTTCGGTCCCGAGCGGCAGCCGTCCAACTGAGAATACATCGTGCTTCAAGGACGAGAACAGCTTATCTTGGGCCGTGGTGAGCAACTCCACCTCGGGACATGTGACACCATACGGCCATACGGTGCACCTCTGAAGCCCACGCCGAAGCAACTTAGTGCGAATGTGGTTGTGGCCCTAAGATAGGACACCTTGTGCCGCACCGGGATTGAAGACCCAAACATCTTCGCACACTCGAGCTGAAGACGATTTTGCTGAATGCTGTTTGTGGATGCAGACAATCTCGGCACATGGCGCATGCGGCGATCGGATTACTATTTTTCCCCTTAACCCTCTTGACACATTTGCTAATTGCCGTGGAATAAAATTTGTACTTTGGGTTTGGGCTTTGAGTCTTCCCCTTGATCAGCGCTGTATTGTAAACCCTCCTTTGGAAGCCGCAAACCCTGCAGTCCTGGTCCTACATTCCTGCCGTTGCTGCAGCCTGCAGTTTCTGGGCTGTGCCTGTACCGGCCCCTGAGAGGCCAAGGAACTCAACTCACACGTTCTAGTGCAAACTTGCTCTTGCAACCGTGAGGTTTCGGATGCTGGGGTAAACCCTCAACATAAACTTTGCCAGAGAGAGAGAGAGAGAGAGAAGGGTTAAGTAATCAGTCAGAGGTCCCAGCAGGGTCCGGACCCCTTACCTTGGGTGCTACTAAATAGCTTAATTCGGGGCCGCGTGCTGCCCCAAAACAGTGTTTAATGTTAGGGCGCGGTATCCGGATAGCGGGTTACAATGTGCACGTGTAAGCGTAGCGGTGTAGCGAGGCCGTGCCTTTCTTGAATGTGCCAGGAAGTTGCTTCGGACATGATGCCTCCCTGAAGCATCAGGGCTCCGGCCACACCTCAAGCCATCCCTAAGTTAGCCTGACCTGAATCAGCTGTAGAGCTGCTAGGTTCGAGCTGGAGTTTGGTTTTTCTTGCTTCCCGTGCAACGGCACATAAAGTGTTTCGGCTTTCGCGTCTCGCGCTCAGGGCCTTCAACCTACACCATGAACCCCTCGAGCTTGTGGGTGTACACGCCCGAACAACAAACCCTTGTTTTGGGGTTTGACCCGTTCTCTGTAGGCCTGACTACCACCTGAACGAGACGAGATGCAGACACTCCAATCGGGATTTGCTCGAGACTCATTGATTCACACAGCCGCTAGGACGGAATGTGGCCTAAAACCTCTGTAAATCTGAGTTGAGGTGTGCATCAGCGTATCATACACCCCTGAACTCTAAACTCTAAAGCCTAAGCCCTACGCCAATACTTGCCTTCTCCAGGAGGTTGATGAGCTCCGAGCCCTGGCAACCTCGCTTCTCGGATCCACATATCTCTTGCTGCTAACCGACCGCTACCCGGGAACACACCACAAAGCCACAAAGTCATGGTCTTGGGAAACGACGGTACCGCGCAGCATGGTGCATCCGTAGAATCTATGGTGAGAAAAATTGCAGAAAGAGTAGGCATGGTTGCAGCAAGAAAACCTAGAGTACGCAGAGTATCTATCCAGAAACTGCGACTGCGCACAGCTCGTGCATGTAAGAGGATGCGAAACACGAACTTCGAACCGCGTATTCTGAATGCTCCACGATACAACACTTACGTTGCGGGTCCGAAGTTTTTCCGTTCTGGGGCTGGGACAGCCTTCCCCAAACCAGGGAACAGCGGCCTAGTACCGCCTTAGTCACTTTGCCAAAACCACCCTCCAGCTCCTGAACCTACAACCCCTCAAGCTGCGAACCCTAAAACCCTGCAGCCCTGGACCTCGCAACTTCACTAGCCTCCAGCCAGGCAGCAATGTGCAAAGAGTAGCTCCAAGGCCAACGCGAAAATGTCCTGCGAGCCGTACCTTCATATTTCGGATTATCGGCTGGGGAGGCGCCAGGTCTGAATCAAGTTGCTTTCTGCTTCGTTGCTTCTGACGGCAAGTAAGAGTACGTAGAGATCTGCTCACAAGTGGTCTGAGTGCAGGGTTGGGAACTTGCACAGTTCAGGGTTTCATACAACTTTCAAATTCCGCCAGCTATGCAGACTCCAATGAGGTAGCTCCGCTTTTTTTATGTTGAAGGCCTCGCATGTAAGGCGCCAGTGTTGAGACTCGCGGACAGATGCGGCAAAGCACAAGTGCTGCTTTAAAATCGTTATCAAAATCCTACCAAAACCCTGCACCCTGCATCGGTGCAACCCTGATGCTGCCATCTTCCCTGGCAACCTTGAACTACAGCCGGTCTGTAACGACAACCAGCAATCATACGTCCTCGTCTGTAACATCCTTAAAGCAGCGGCACGAGCTGAAGTCGTCTGCAAAAAACTAAACAGGGACTGAAAGCTAGAGCTAGAGAGGGGGGAGGAGGAGGAGGAGGAGGAGGACGGCGACGACTACCACTACCGAGTAGTGCTGTGGAACTTCTATTGATGCGGATATTGCTGAGAAGACCAAATCGTGGCGGGCACTGGTTCTACTGGAAACATGACACAACCATGACTTTAAATGATGGCAACGGCATCAAGGAACCGGTGTGTACAACCGGTTCAGAAAAGATTGTCATCATCATAGAATAGAGGGCCCCCTCAAACAACGATGATGATGATGCTTTTGGCAACGCTATAAGCCGACCTTCAGTGGAAAGCTGAGCAGGAGAAGAATGACAGTTGCGATACGTGAACCCACAATGATACCCGTAAAATCGACAAAAAGCCAAAGCCAAGACACATCATGAGGTCCACGCACCTCGGGTAGGGCTATTCACGGCTCGGTCCGGTTTGGTCCTGTCTGCAGCCACACAATAACCAAAGCCTTGTATTCAAGCCGTGAGCACCTGTGGCTCCACGACAGGGATCTGAACATGAACTCTGTGTCCCGTGCCCTTGTCTACGCTGGCTCGACATCATGGCGGGATTTCTCTGACTTGCGGGTCGTGCGTATACAGGATGGCGGCGACTGCAATGCCAACTGTCTCGGGCATGTTAACACAGCACATATTCTTGATATGAAAGTTGAAAAGCCGAAGTTCGATCACAGCAGACCGACTCCGAAAGTACTGAAGCAGCAGACCGGAGACAATCATGATACAGCAAATCACGACGAATCCATGTTGCACCTTCTATCTCTATTGCTCGATGACTCTTTCAAGGTTTGGGCCGGAACCATGAGAAAGAGATACAATGTCTAAGGTCTAAAAACACGAGTCTCCCGCAGAGACGACTCTCAGCTGAGAGGCATGACGGCCGGTGATCGCCTTGGCTCTACCGTTCAGCAAGCTACGGCAAGAGGAAATGCATTGCAACAGTAGCTTCTCAACTTAGTCTTGCTTGCAAGTCACTCGAAAATCCGACAAAGGCAAAGAGGTGCAAACTGACAGTCAGAGAACATGACTCTCTCTTTTTTTTTTTTTTTTGGGGGGNNGTGATTGAAGAATCGAAGGCCAATGCCGGCTTGCCATCCCGAACCGATCACTCGGCGAATTCACTGAACAAGTAAAATCATCAAATACATGAATAGAACGCCCCGTTATCTTCGGTTCGAGCATGGACTGCCGAAAGAAGCACCGGGGCACTGAGGGGCCATGCTCTTCACAAGAACAACCTGCGTGCCCAAAGATCCTGCTGCAGAGAATGCGCATATAAGGCTGCATCAAGTCGATCACGGGCTCGCTCATGATGCGCAGAACCTGGCAGGAGCGGCTTTCGGATTTGTGGATGCGGACCTTCCGAGGAGATCTCAATTTCGCCTTATAGCAAGAATGAGATGTTCCGGAAGGCTACTTACTCCGGACGGACTCCAGCCAGCTCGGAGGATTACTTAAGTTATTGCATGTGTCAGGAGGCTGATCTTTCTGTTTGGGTGCACATTTGGAAAGGATTCAGCATAGCTGCAAGCAAGCCGCGTTGTCCACCACATCCTCTGCCATTGTCATGGTTTCGTTGCCAGCCGTCAGGGAAGAATACCTGTGCATCAGGTGCTGCGCTAAAAGTATCCGGAGCTTAACGGTTCGCTTTGCTCGACGATGGGAGTTTTGGATTCCGAGCCCTCGGCTTCAATTTCAATTGTGATTGTGAATGTGCCCCTCGTGACTAGTGACTGGTGAGAGCTACTTCTAACACAGACACACGCACGCGCACACACACACACATACATCTAACAGATTCGGCTCTTTCTCTGTAACCGTTCACGGCAGCACTTTCAAACGCGTGGCCTTCTACGGGACCTCAGTGTCACTTGGCTTTCTGCAATTCATTGAGCCCTGTGGTGTTCTTCATTACTTCTTCGACGACTCAGAATGCTCGTAGCTTGCCATGCAGACGCCAAGTTACAGTGCCGAGTACACTTGGCTGCGAAAGAGCTCGAGGACGTGAGAAATCTTCGAATGCATCCTCGGAGAAGCCAACACCCAAACCTCTGAAATTCCCGGCATATAGTCATAACATATTATCTCAGATTATGCATACTATCAGATATAGTCTATAGTAAGTTACATGGGTGGGAATAGGAGCTTTTGCCGCGAGACACTTCATCCTGCACAAGCGACTGCGTAGCTTCTCAAGCTATTTGGAAGTCTTGCCGCATTCTTGCCCAACACGAAGGAGAAGCACCAGCTTGGGGGTGTTGTGAGCTGTGACAACTTTGGAGTCGAGGGGGACCCTGGGCCTCTGATGACCAAAAGTGGAGGCCCCCTGAGCTGCAAAAT